AATGGGTACTCCTTCTCTTGAATTTCTTTTAGAGTCAACCTTCCACTTGGCTTATCTTGAAAAGAAGTGGATTTCGTACTCTGCTTCTTTCTCACCTTCGTTGTGAACTTCACAGGTGATGTGTTGACATTCATAGCTTCTTTGCTTTCAGACTTGGGTACGAACTTGCCCCACTTCGTGACTTCTTGCTTGTCATTCCCTTTGCGAGGTTCATAGACGGGCAGCCTTTCATTTCCAGCGGAGGCCATGCTCAATTCCATGTCATGAGCACGAGTTGCAAGTTCTTCAAATGTGTTGATACCTTGCAAGATGTAGCACATTCCCAATACATGCCTTGGATGCACATCTCTATGCCTAAAGCTTCACTAAGCCTGTCTTTGCAATTGAGGCTTGCATTCCTCCAATGATTGATAAAGTCGATAATTGGTTCCCCTTTTCATTGACGAGTATTTGTAAGTTCTATCATACTCACAGTACATCTCGTACTATAAAAGCGATTGAGGAACTTGCTCTAGTTGATCCCAGCTATCGATAGATCCAGCCTCGAGGATCGTGTACAGTCAAAAGCATTTCTTTTTAGCGAGCGGACAAACTGCTTGATGAGGTAATATCCATAAGTCCCAGCACTATTGCATGTATCCACGAAGTGCGCCACATGTTGTTTTGGGTTACCTTTACCATCAAACTGTTGAAACTTTGGAGGTTGATAGCCAACAGGCATCTTCAACATATCGACCCTTGCAGTGTACAACTTTGCATATGTAAGGGAGGATTTGGCAACAACTTCATATTTGTTCTTAATGATTCCTTCAATGAACTCCTTCAGTTGATCGATTGGAATCATCCCTTCAGATGAGACAGGGATAGCCTTAGTGGATTCTACTTGTCTTGGGGGAGAGTCACTCTCTAGAACTTTTGGAAGCTTGCCAGGTGCATGGGTGGATTCTTCTTCCATCAAGATTCCCACCCTGTCTGTTAGCTTGTCAATTCTAGCCTCTTGATTTTGCATGCATTTGGTCAAGCCAGCGATTGCTTCCGTCAAGTTTGCCAACTGCTCCTCCATAGATGAAGTGTTTGTCACCATGGCTTGCATGATTGTCGTGGACGACGGAGAGTAACATGGATTTTCATATAGATTGATCCTTGATTGACTCAAGCTATATGGTGTAAGTGGGGAGGATTCATCACTTAAAGCATCATTATCTTCCTTCACAACAGAGTGCTTGTATCTGGAGAGTTCAAGCAGAGCAAGCGTTTTCTTGATCTTTTCAGCAACATCGCTTCCTCATTCAGATGCGTTTGTGGAAGATCTTGCTCCTTTTGAGGATAAAGATCCGAAAATAGGGGTTGATGCGGACGACATGGGGTGCTTATTGTCCTAAAGAGCTCATTTTGCTCTTCGTAACTAGTTCGAAGCTTCCAAAGGTAACATCGTGGATGCTTTCCACATCAACATAGAACGTGGAGTTAGCAGCCGTGGTGAAAGTTGAACAGGAGTTGATTTTCTTTAAAGCCATTTCAATGTTCTCGGACTTTGGTGATTGAAAAGTTGAGATGAGAGGTAGAGATTGTCCTACTGGGCGTGCCAGAATTTGTAGACAATAAATTGCATCGAGAAATTAAAAATCAAGACCGAAAAATATCGCAACAATCGTAGTATTTTATTTCAAATATTTGAGTGTTACAATCTCTATGATTCTTCTGATTCTTCTTTCCAATAGCAAATCAAGGGCCTTTGAGCTTGATCTTGAATATGTGTTGCTACGAACGATGATCTTGTTCTTGAGCTTTAGCTTGATTGCTTGAACTTGACCTTGATTTGTTCTTCGTTCTTGAGCTTGCACTTGATTTGTTCTTCATTCTTGAGCTTGAACTTGATTGCTTGAAGCTTGAAACTTGTAGAGAAATTTGCGGCGTTTGATCCATGAGCTCTCTCTTGCTTCTTGTTATAACTTCTGGTGTCTTTTCTGGGTTATGAAGACCCCTATTTATAGTTGTGGAAGGGAGGAGTTATAATAAGAACAAACTCTTTCCGACCAATCAAATTGAAGTGTGACATGGTCGCATTTGATTGGCCAGAACATGTCATTTGCACACGTGGCACAGTTTATTGGTCTTTTAATTTGACTTGGCATGCCTTGTCATTTTGACATATGGCATGATCATATTGGCTCTTCTATTTGAGTTGGCGTGCCACGTCATTTGACACGTGGCACCAAACTAGGCCTTTAGAAAGATGACATCTTGGGCTTAATGACGTTGGCTCATCACTTTAGCCCAATTAAATGGGCTAGCCCAATGGATTAAGGCTTATTTATTTAACCCATATATATTGGACTTATATAATTAATAATTATATTAGCCCATAATATTTTAGTTGGACTAGATTATCTTGAATTTAAAATGCAATGCAAATTATTTTATGGATTTAAATCAAATAAATTTTGCATGCCTATACCGATGTTGCTGTGTTCGACGGGAGCTGGATTGGAGATGTACCTGCGTCCCTGTTGTAGCTGCATCTTGTTCATGGTAGCCTTAGATTTTAAAACACTGTTTATGTACTTTTCAAACAGAAGGTGTATTTAGTTCATACCAGCTTGTAAACTCTATTCTTAGAAACTCATGATTTGTACTACCAGTCCTTGGGAAATGTATAAGATTCAGAAAATTCCTTTGTTTAATTGTTTTACTAATATTATTGGAATTGGATAGTTATTAGTTGACTTATCTAGCGGGTTGGGTTAGGTGCCATCACGACTAGTGGATTATGGGTCGTGATATTTGGTCTTTAGATTTAATAACCCGACACAATTAGTTTGGTTTGATAATTGCAAAATTCGAACCAACCCGACCTATGTACACTGGAGGAGCTAGGTGAACTCTTACATGTACATTACTACAGAAAAAGTATATTCATGTAGGAGTGGATGTAAAACTTTACCTTATAGGAGTACTGGTATATTACTATATGAAACGAAAAATGAACATATTCATATAGCTATGTGCTCTGTCTCTGAGTGCAATGAAAATTGTGCATATATTATCCCATCATTAGAAATTCATTTAATTTCTCTTTTTTCCTTTATCTTTAGCAGGTTATGATGATTATTTCACTTGCTAATATTCCTTTCGGTGATTAGAATATGTCATTTGGATGTCCTGTTCTTGCTGTTCTGGTCCACAAAAAGAAAACAGAATGGACATTTCCCTAGCAAACTACTGTCACCCCCTTAAAAGATAATAATAATAAACATCTTTCCTTGTAAAGTTAAACAGAAAAATAGTACAATGGGAGAGGAACTAAAAATCAGGATTTGCTTCAGCACAACACATTGCATATGCGTCATGTATTGCGTATAAAGAAAATAAATTAAGAAAAAGAAGAAGGATAGGGAAAGTAAGGAAAATATTTGATTATACCATTTGATTAGTAGTACATTTTAAGATAACGAATATTCTGTCAATTAACTAACCATTAACTAGATCATATCTATTGAAATTTTGGGCCAAAGTCATCAGTAAACAGTTGTTTATATATTTAAAATATATCTTCTTATAAACTTTCTAGGATTTGCTTTAGAATTCAAACTTTTGAAATACGCACGTCTTGAATCATATGGTCAAAGAAAGGAAAACTCCATTGTAATTAATTAATAGTGCAAAAATACGCATATCTCCAAACATCTCTTTCAATTATATCATGTAGCATCTTTTTAATCCTAAAAGATGATCTCTATCTTGAGGTACAAACTTATCGTTTAGAACATTAGTGAACTTTCACATGCGATGGTATTAACGTGCTTCTGTCTTGCATAAAAATTCAACCGAGACATGTAATTCTATTTTAATTTTCCAGGAATGCTAAGAGTACGATGATTAGTTATTTATGATAAGGTTCCACTTAATAAGAATTCATGGGTAGCAGTTAGGAGGAAATATAATTCCAATTTATGTGACAGTGTTTGACTTGACACATAATTTAAAAAAAAAATATTTAAAGCTTGTGATCTAGCACATATCACAGATTATCTCATTAAGGGTAAACTAAGAAGTTTAAAGTTAAACTGTTTCTAAATAAAGAAGTATGATATTCTTTTTGGAACAAACTAAAAAGAAAATATGCAAACATAAATGGGGACTGATGAAGTATTATGTTAGAATGACTTGCGTTAGTAGAGAGAATGAGTTGTTGCCTTTTTGTATGATCTCAGCTCATGAACTAAATTTAAAATTAAATAAGTCGGAAGCCGTTTTTTTTTACATGCTATCAAAGTCAAACCTACACTTATTCTTGTTTCACCTAAATTTGGGCTCATATATCATATCGTTCGTGCTTCGAGTGGTCATCATAGGACATGCAACGAGAATGGGAGGAGGGGCTGTTGAATGTTTTTGCATTGGTTGAAGGATAAAGTTGTTAATTACTTACTCCCTCTGTTCCAGTTTATGTGAATTTTATTTCTTTTTTGGTTCGTTCTAAAAAGAATGACCCCTTTGTAAATTTGGTAACAATTTAGCTTAAACTTACAATTCCACCCTTAATGAGAAGCTTTTATAATCACACAAATACTCTGGCCCCTTTTTGACTTGTTTAGGACCACAAATTCCAAAAGTCTTCATTTTTCCTTAAACTCCGTGCCCAATCAAACATGTTCACATAAATTGGAACGGAGGGAGTACATGATTTTGGATAATTTTATTTAACTTTCTGGTCGACTCAAATTGAAGTTGAAATTCTTTTACAAACGTTAGTGTCGGTTCGGTTTGATGCTTGTAAGGCACATATCGATGTCAATTCCGAGTACCGATTGAAAAATGAAAAATTGAATGAGATGACATACTAAGTCAAATCAAGGAAACAAAGTCGAAAACGAAAGCCTCTACGCTTCTTGATTTTGTTGAGTTGGCAAATAAGACTCATTGTCATAGCTGCCCCAAGTTTGCACGTAATTAATCATCACCATTTTCTGTATTTTTCTCAACTATATAAACTTCATCATTTTTCTCTATTTTGACACCAATCACAGATCAATTATTTTTCTATAGTAATCATGGCTTCTTCTTGTTTACATGCCATTCTTTTATGCTCTCTTCTTTTCATTACTTCAATCACGGCCCAAAACCAAACTTCTTTCCGTCCCAAAGGCCTAATTCTCCCAATCACAAAAGATGCTTCAACTCTCCAATATCTCACCCAAATCCAACAAAGAACACCTCTTGTCCCTGTAAGTTTAACTCTTGATCTTGGTGGCCAATTTTTATGGGTTGACTGTGACCAAGGTTATGTCTCCTCCTCTTATAAACCTGCGCGGTGTCGCTCCGCCCAGTGTTCATTAGCCGGAGCTGGCGGCTGTGGACAATGCTTTTCTCCACCTAAACCAGGCTGCAATAATGACACATGCGGCCTACTTCCTGATAACACTGTCACTCGAACCGCCACCAGTGGAGAATTAGCTTCTGATACTGTGCAAGTGCAATCTTCTAATGGTAAAAATCCTGGAAGAAATGTAAGTGACAAAGATTTTCTTTTCGTTTGTGGCTCTACATTTCTTTTAGAAGGACTTGCTACTGGTGTTAAAGGTATGGCTGGTCTTGGTAGGACAAGAATATCTCTTCCTTCGCAATTCTCAGCTGAATTTAGCTTCCCTAGAAAATTTGCTGTTTGTTTGAGCTCTTCAACCAACTCAAAGGGTGTTGTACTTTTTGGAGATGGACCTTATTCTTTCCTTCCTAATAGGGAATTCTCAAATAATGATTTTTCCTACACTCCACTTTTTATCAATCCAGTAAGTACAGCTTCAGCTTTTTCCTCAGGAGAACCCTCTTCTGAATACTTTATTGGAGTAAAATCCATCAAGATTAACCAAAAAGTTGTCCCAATAAACACAACTTTGTTGTCAATTGACAACCAAGGTGTTGGTGGAACTAAGATTAGCACAGTCAATCCTTACACCATTTTGGAAACTTCAATATACAATGCTGTTACAAATTTCTTTGTCAAGGAACTTGTCAACATTACTAGAGTTGCATCCGTGGCACCATTTGGGGCTTGTTTTGATTCAAGAAACATTGTAAGTACAAGAGTTGGACCAGCTGTACCCTCCATTGATCTTGTTTTGCAAAATGAGTGTTTTTTGGACGATTTTTGGAGCAAACTCGATGGTACAAGTGAGTGAAAATGTTTTGTGCCTTGGGTTTGTGGATGGAGGTGTTAATACAAGGACTTCTATTGTGATTGGAGGATACACAATTGAGGATAATCTTTTGCAGTTTGATCTTGCAAGATCAAGATTAGGATTCATATCTTCAATTCTATTCCGACAAACTACATGTCCCGATTTTAACTTCACTTCAATTGCTTAGGTGGTGTGGACTGAAGTTGTTTGTATTTTGATTCTTAATAATGGTCTAAGTATGCCTTTTGAAATAATTTGTAATAAGTGGACCTCTCCTCCTTAAATAAGAGGTCCTACTTAGCTCGCGTAGTAGTGCGCCAGATAAGATTTCATGTAATTTGTGCGTTGAAAACTTTGTTAAATTGGGTGTGGATAATGCATATACATTTTTTCAATTTTTTTTTCTCTTTTTCAAATTTTAGATAACTATTGAGATTTTTATGGTTTCCCCTTCTAACTAGACTCATAGCCCTTTTATTCATCAACTGGCCTTTTCTCTTTGCAATTGTGGTTTAATATCTCAACTAATTCAGCTTATCTCCTTGCAATGACACTTCATGATCGTATATGGGGATGCAGATCGAACAATTCGGTGAAAAAGACTAGTACAAATATCACAACATATATAACTTAATTGACTAATTTTATATGAGTTTTATACGAGAATAAAATAGCTCCTAGAGATATTTATTGTACGTAGAAGGTTGTACAAATAAAACGACCGAACCGACAAATTAAGTCAAACCAAAGGAAAAAGGGCCATGGTTTGATGTTGGAAATGAAAAAATCAGTCATTATTAGGTTTAGTTTGGTATTAACCAAACAAAAGTCAAACCAACACCAAATCAAACAGATATTATATGACTATCATTAAAAAAAAATAGAGATAATTAAGAGACCCCCCATCACGTTTCCCTCTATTACTGTAACGACCCGGTCAGTCGTTTCGAGAGTTATAGTCTCGTTCCCCAATTTCTGCTCCTTTTGTGTTCTACAGCTATTATATGACTTACGGGATAGTTGGTTCGGGTCCAGAGTGATTTCAGAGTAAATTGAGATACTTAGTCTCGTAATTGAAAACTTAAGTTGGAAAAGTTGACCGAAGCGCGTCTGTTAGGTGATTTTGGACTTAGGAGCGCGTTCGGATTGTGATTTGAAGGTCCGTAGTAGAATTAGGCTTGAAATGGTGAAAATTAAAATTTCGAAAAGGTTGACCAGGAGTGGACCTTTTGATATCTGGGTCGGATTAGATTTTCAGAAGTTGGAGTAAGTTCGTCGGGTCATTTGTGTCTTTTGTGCAAAATTTAAGGTCAATCAGACGTGATTTGATATGTTTCGGCGCCATTTGTAGAATTTGGAAATTTTAAAGTTCATTAGGCTTGAATCCATGTGTAATTCGTGTTTTTGATGTTGTTTGAGGTGATTTGAGGATTTGACCAAGTTCGTATGATGTATTAAGACGTGTTGGTACGTTTGATTGATGTTCCGGGGGCCTCAGGTTGATTTCGGGTGGTTAACGGACTTGGAATGGAAGTTGAGGAATTGCTGAAGTTTGGTCTTTTGCTGGTGTGATCGCACTTGCGAGGGTATTGGCCGCAGGTGCGGTAGGTGGAGCGCAGGTGCGGAAAGGGTGGAGACCAGCAGAAGTCGCAGGTGATATGGTTTCTCCGCACATGCGATAGCGCAGATATGGACCAGTTGTCGCAGGAGTGGAGGCAACTGGAGTTAGTAGTTTTTGCAGGAGCGCTCATTTTTCCGCACAAGCAGGCGCGCAGGTGCGAGCCCAGGATCTGCAGGTACGGAAATGCCTGGGCAGAACCTATATAAGCGAGGTTCCGAGATATTTGGCCATTTCTAACGTTTTGAGCTCAGATTTTGGAGGTGTTTGAGATGTTTTTGACGAGATTATTGAGGTAAACTCCTTATGTTCATTTTCTTCAATAATAATATTTCCCCTCTGATTTTTCACCTGGTTGGTGTATTTTTGAGTTGCAATTTGGGGGTTTGAGGCTAGTGATTTGGAGAGTAAATTTTAAGGATTTGAATAACCATTTGGTGTCGAATTTTGATAAATTTGGTATGGTTAGACTCGTGGGTAAATGAGATTTCGAGTTTTGTGACTTTTGTTGGATTTCGAGATGTGGGCCCGGGGACTGGGTTTGAGTCGATTTCGGATTTTGCTATATTGATTACATTGTACTATTTGTGGATAAATTCAGGACGTTTGGAGATCGATTTAAAAGGCAAAGGCATTTTGGAGTAAATTTTTGCCCGGATTGAGGTAAGTAACATATTCAAACTTAGTTTTGAGAGTTCGAAACCCCGGATTATGTGTTATGTGATTGGTATTGAGGTGACGCACATGCCAAGTGACGGGCGTGCGGGTGTGCACCTTGAGAATTGTGACCTGGTCGATTCCATGGCACTATATAATGGTTCTATCTTGTTGATATCTGTATTTTCATCATGTGATAAAGTAATTAAGCTGTCGATCATGCTAGATATTATGCTTAAGCTTTATGCCATTACTGTCACAACGGTTGTTTTTTGTTTTCATCTTACTGATTTCATTAATATTTCGTGCTTAGTCATATTCATTTATTTCATATCATATCTCAGTCTCAGTTGTTAGTTATTGATACATCATATCATTGTTTTTGGTCTAGCTTCGTGACATTGTGAGCCCGTGTGTGAGACTGGAGAGATTGATGACCGAGTGAGGCCGCAGGCCTGATTGTAAGTGACAGTTGTGGGATCGTGTTGCACGCTGCAACGGTTATACTGATTTATGATAGTGCTTGGGCTGAAGAAGCCCCTCCGGAGTCTATACACCCCAGTGAGCACGGTTGATATTATTAAGGGATGGATCTTCCTTGGACACGGATCTTGTCCGAAGCATTACATACCTGGAAATGGATCTTCTCCACGGGCTGGATTGGCGCTACTCGGTACTGGGTGACTAATGGTCAGTGATGTATATATTCCGCGATGGATCTTCCCTGGGCTGTATGGGCCATATACAGTATCGAGTGATTGAGCATTAGAGAGTATGAGCACATGAGGCTGTTAGTATGGTGCATCACAAAAAGCATGTGCATTGGTATGTAGAAGTAGAAGAGTTATATTCTTCACATCGTTCAGATTTGATCTATTTTTCCTGTTTTGAGCTATCTATTTAACTTGAAAGCATGCCTACATTTCTACAATGTTATTTCTATTTTGAACTGTGGCTGTTAAGTTCGTCACTACCTTTCAATCCAAAGGTTGGACTTGTTACTTGCTGAGTTGGTTGTACTCACATTATACCATGTACCTCGTGTGCAGATCCAGGTGCTTCTAGTCACAGCGAATGCTGATTGATGAGTCAGGATTCAGAGACTATCGAGGTAGCTGCATGGCGTTCGCAGGCCTTGACTCTCCTTCATTATGTCTACCTGTATTTCAGTTCTTGTTTCCCTAGACATTGTAGTAGACTATATTTTGGTATAGATGTTCATGTATTCTGTGATACCCCGGTTTTGGGATAGATTGTATCGTATATTCGGATTATTTCTTTTTCAAAATGGCTTTTTCTTAAATATTAATTGCTTCTGTCCTTATTTTTCAATATTTTTACTGTGTTGAGATATTGAGTAGTGGCTTGCCTAGAACCACGATAGGCGCCATCACGACGGTTAGTTTTGGATCGTGACAAGTTGGTATCAGAGCCTAGGTTATATAGGTCTCACGATTCATGAGCAGGCTTAGTAGAGTCTTGCAGATCGGTACAGAGACGTCTGTACTTATCTTTGAGAGGCTGCGGAACCCTTAAGAAATTTCACATTCTTTAATTCTTGTCGTGCGAATCTATTAATTCTGGTAACTAAACTTCTGTTATTCTATTCTCTCATAGATGTGAGGACCCGTAATACTAGGGAGGATGTACAGCCACCAGTACCACCAGTCAGGGCCACGAGGGGCCGAGGTCGCGGTAGGGGCAGAGGTGTAGCTCACACAGCAGCTATGACAGCACATGCAGATCTACTAGTTGCCCTAGTTTAGGAGCAAGTCCCAGTTATGGATGAGCATGTAGGGCCATCTCAGGCACCAGCTGTGCCCATCGTGATTCCAGGCCTTCAGGAGGCCTTAGCTGAGATTTTGACCGTATGCACCTGTATTGCTCAGGCGGTCTCTATTCCGATCGCAACAACCACTTCTCAGGCCGGGGGAGGTACTTAGACTCTCACCTCCCATACATCCGAGCAGGTGATGCATGGACTTCAGACACCGAGGGCACTACCAGCCCAGCCGGTGGCAGCTTCTCAGGCCCATATGGTTCTTGTTACGATTGATGATGAGCAGCAGAGACTAGAGAGGTTTGGTAGACTCCAGTCTCAATATTTCAACGGGGTAGAGTCGGAGGATGCCCAGAGTTTCTTGGACAGATGTCAGAGGATTCTCCGTATAATAGATATTCTGGAGACCAGTAGGGTCTCGGTCACTACTTTTCAGTTTACTGGAGCTGCCTTCAATTGGGGGGAGACTTATAAGAGGCGTAGGGCAGTCGGTGTAGCGCCACTTACATGGTAGGAGTTTTGCGTTCTCTTCTTGGAGAAGTACGTGCCGCAGTCTCATAGAGAGGAGCTGTGCCGACAATTTGAGCTATTACGTTAGAACAATATGACTGTGATGCAGTACGAGATAAGGTTTTCTGAGTTAGCCCGTCATGCAGTTTGGTTGGTCCCCACTGACAGGGACAGAATCAGGAGGTTCATCGATGGTCTCACATTTCAATTGTGAGTGCTTATGACAAGAGAGAGGGTGTTTGGTGCTACTTTCGATGAGGTTATTGACATAACTCGGCAGAAAGAGCTGGTTTGCAGCCAAGAGCAGATTGAGAGGGATGCCAAGAGGTCTCGTGGATTAGGTAGTTTTAGTGGTGTTCCTTCTAGAGGTCAGTTCTACCACGACAGGGGTCATCCCTATAGGCATGCTCAGACAACTCATCTAGTTCACCGTGGTTCATCATCTAGCCATGGTTCATACAGTTCTCAGCAGGGTCACCCATCTCTCAATGCCCTTCCAGCTCAGAGTTCTTCTCATGCACCATCAACTCAGGGTTCATCTATGTCGGATCCTTCTAGTAGTTGTCCCGGTACTCGGAGCTCCCTTCAGTCCCCATCGCCATTTGCAGGGAGAGGTTGCTTTGAGTAAGGAGATTTGGGTCATATCAAGAGGCATTGTCCCCGCCTCTCAGGAGGTTCAGCTCAACAGAGAAGTTAGCCTACGATTTAGCACCAGTTACTTCACCACCCGCCCAGCCAGCTCGGGGTGGAGCTCATCCACCTAAGAGTCTCCCTATAGGGGGAGACTGATTAGATGGTGGCCAAGCCCGATTCTATGCAATCCTTGCTAGACCAGATG